GAAATACATTCCAAAATAATGTTTTGGTGACCATTTTATTTACTAGTCTTGATCTTTCCATTAATTTGTCTTCTTTCAAGAGCAATATAATATTGGACCACCCAATTAAGATCTTGCAGAAAACTACACAGATAAAAAACACAGCCTCCTACCAGGGAGAACTAGACACCACGCACTCCATTATCTGAAAAAAAGTGAAGTTTACCCCAAGGAATCACTTAGGTACTTGAGAGAATTTTTCATTGAATGTTGGAAACAAACAGACCATTTCTTATTAAAACTATAGGACCTCATGCCTGAGAAATTTGTAAAGTGGAAAAGGATGGTATAGGGGAGACTGAGAGAGGTGTAAAGAGAATGAGAGTGGGGAGAAAGATAGGGTGCGAGGAAGAGAGGGAGGGAGGGGGAGAGAGAAAGAGTTATAGCTCTTGAGGGGTCATTAAGGTTCAATTCCCTTGCCATGTACCTCTCCCTCCATTCCCACTCAGCTCCTGTAAATGACTTTTCTGATTTATAGAGCAGGGGAGGGGCTATTCATTTCCTGTATATTAGTCCATTACTTACTAATATGTGAAACCAGACTGAGAGATGGTGTAAGATGAATGGGAGGAGGGAGGGTAAGAAGTTGTAATTGTCTGAATTATTCTTTTGGATTTATTTTATTTTATTTTATTTTTTTGCCAATGGGTTAATTTCATCTGCTATCTGGTGTGACAAAAATACTATTGTAATTTATTAAAATTGTGAGGGAGTAAAAAGAAAGTGTTTTTTTTTTTTTTAATGCCAAAAGTAATAAGCACACAGACTGATCACTTTCTAAAATTTAGTAGGGATTCAAAGTCTGAACTAATACACATTGTCATCAGCTTTCTAGGCTGTTCCCCAGCTAATGTTCCTTTTGAAACTAATGTTCCTTCTCAGAGGATATTCAGTGAGATGGTGTTTTTCTCTGGCTAGATCCAGTGGGGGTTGAAGAGATGGCATTTATAAAAAAATCAATTTGTCACAACTTAGATCTAGCTTTAACGAAATATGGAATGATGTCAGCTATCAATGAGATATCACATAAAATGAGAACAAAGTGCAACAGCCCTCTCTTGGAGTTAGCAGGTAGGAGTTGAATCTTAGCTGTTTCTGTTTGTATTATCGGAGCCTAGGTTAGGAAACAAATTTTTAATTGAAAAGAGAAAAGACTTTTTTTAAGAGAAATTTTTTAGAGAAAAGTCTGATGGGTTGACAGAGCTATACCCCTTGTAATTAATCACAGAACTGATACTTAAATAGGTAAGAACTTGTTGGTTCAAACACTAAAATAACCATTTCAGAGGATCAGTACTTCACAAGAGAGAAAGCAACCACTGCTTCACAGAGTGGACATGCTTCAGGGGAACAGAGGCAATTGGCTTTTAGTCCAAAAATGTTTTGCTATATTATATTATTTTATTTGCTGCCCCAGTGGGCTTTCTTTACCAGAAGCTTACAATTCAGGCTATGGTTTTTAGAATCTTTGTTTTAAAAGGCAAAATAAAATTTATTTTGTATAGGATCTAGCTCATTAACTATTTGTATACACACATTCAAAATACCCCAGAGTGACACCATCAGGGAGTTTTCCAACAGTCTCTCCACCCTCTTTTACCCTAATTATTAAAACCCTGATCTTGGCCTGGTGGTATGGCTCAGTGGTTGAGCATCGACTCATGTACCAAGAGGTTGCCGGTTCGATTCCTGGTCAGGACACATGCCCAGGTTGTGGGCCCAATCCTCAGTGGGGGGCATGCAGGAGGCGGCCAATCGATGTTCTACTCATTGATGTTTCTATCTCTCTCTCCCTCTCCCTTCCTCTCTGAAATCAATAAAAGAAAAAAAAAAAAAAACTTGAAATTGGCCACAGTGTACCTGGCCTCAGGAAATGAATCATGGTTGGTCTAAGGCCCTTACGGCTGTAAGTTCATGCTGAACATTTGTTTTCTCAGTTTCCCCTGCAGTTAGTGGTGGTCATGTGACCCAGTTCTGGCCAGTCAGATGTAAAAGGGAATCTCCAGGGGGTTTCTGGGTAATATTTTGCTTTCTGTTATAACAGGGATAAGTATTTAAGGAGATTTTCTTGGAGTGCTTCTATTCTTCCTGTCTGAGATATTAATGTAAAGGCCTGAGGCTTGAAGCTGAAACATACATCTTGTGACTGCCCATGAGGCAACAACATGATAGAAGATGGAAATAATGTCAAAGATGCTAACCCAAAGCCCTAACATTGTGGAACCACTGAACAAGCCCTGGGATTGCCTGCAACTAGCCTCTTGTTAAATAAACAAGAAATCCCCTTTTGGCTTAAACCAAAGTTTGTTGGGTTTTCTGATATTTGCAACAAAAACATCCCAGCCAATACAATTCCTTTCCTTTCAAGACATAGTTTTATTACCCTGCCATGTAATTATGAAGATGATTCTTGTCCTTTTTACCCTTTTGGTTTATTAATTCAGTTTTATTTAAATAATTTTTAATCCTCATTCAAGGATATGTTTTTGATTCTTTTTCTGAGAGAGAAAGAGAAAGAAAGGGAGGGAGAGAGAAAGAAACATCAGTTGGTTGTCTTCTCATATGTGCCCCAATTGGGAATGGAACCCACAACCTTTTGGTGTACGAGATTATATTCCAATCACCTGGCAAGGGCTATACATTTTAAATAATTGGTAACCCACTGAAGAATAAAATCTTTCCTTCCATGAAATCAAATAGTTATTACTTTAAAATGTTAACTAGCCATATGGTATCATTAGCCATGAACACTCACAGTATTGCAGTCATTTTCAGTTAGAGATTTGGCAAACTAGACAAGCATTCTTCATCTGAAAGGTTGGTACTATAACTTCAGCAACATTATTTTTATGCTGATGAATGGACATATTGTATAGTTGCTATAAAAATAATTTTTTATTGGACTTCAAATTTTACAGAGTACTTTCACATATAATAATTCAGTTGAGGCTCACAACAACCTCACAAGGCAAATAATATTTTTAGCTCAGTTTTACACTTAAGGACACCAAGACTAAGAAAAATGAAGTGACATGCTGCTGCTAATTCAGTTAATACATGAAGGAGCTTGGATTTAGATCAGAACCTATATTCTCTCCATAGTACCATGCCATGGAGAACAGTCACTTGGACAGCTCTAAGGCTCTTGCTTTTTCAACCAGCAGCCCAAATATTCCTAGATCTCATGATGTAGTATTAGTATATTACATTGAACTTTATAGAACTAAAAAATAGATAACATACCTGCCATACCCATAATAATTGCTACCCTAATGTAAGTTTTGTAGAATTGGCTTCAAACAAATTTTACAAAGCCTTAATAGGGCACCAGGGTGATGTTTAGAGGCATTCCTTCTCCTGGAACTTATTACTGTCTATTATTACTTAAGTCATATTACAACTACTATGTAAGCCCACCCAAGGCAATTATTTTATATTAGTTGTTTTTTGTCTAGCACAGTGCCTACCACGTAGTAGGCACTCCATAATATTTGTTAAATGAACAATGAATTACTAATCTAATCATTCATAGGCACAGAAACACTTACATCGTTTCTCTTTTAAACACATTAGCTTATTGTCTCAAAAAATTGTTTTGGAGACCCAAAGCTCTCTGCAGTTTCAGGAAAGAGACACTTTAAGTAGCAGCAAGGTGAAGTTTCTTCACACTGCGCCTTTCTTGAACTGGTGTAAATATCCAAAAACAAGAGGAAAGCAATTAGTTTTTTCAGCAGTAATAGTAGTGTCTAGAAATAGCTTTTCCATCTTCCATTGAGAACTGTCTCCTTTCTAATCACTGTTCTCCTCATGCTGGATTAGTTTAAAACATTACTAGAGTTTAGTGTAAGCCTTCGGTTTTAAATATTGCAACCACACCTTCACAGGTAGTGAAGGAAAACAGTTGGAATGAGGAAAACTATACATCTATTAAAGTGTCAAAAGAGTGACATTATAGCTCAGATCATCTTAATTTTCTGTGAAAGTTAAAAATGTTTAAGGGAAATCCATGCTCTTGGTATTTTTGAAACATATTTCCATTTTCATGAAACTTACTTGCTTTAACAAAGGAAAGCAGCTCATAAGGGGAATCCCAAATGTTTGTAAATTACCACTGTGCAAATGGAGCTTGTCCCAGTGGGGAAAACCACTTCAAGACATGTTCATGTTTGAATTTTTTTTTTTTAACAGTTTATCCAAATTTATTTTGGTGACCAAATTCTTTTTAGGATTAAGGCAGGATGAAAAAAGGTTAATAAAACCTTTTAGGCCCTGGCTGGTTTGGTTCAGCGGTTAGAGCGTCGGCCCGTGGTCCAGAGAGACCTGGGTTCGGTTCCCACTGAGGGCACATACCTCGGTGGCACTTTGACCCTGGCCCCACTCGATGTGTCCCTTTTACATCGATGTTTCTCTCTCTCTCTCTCTCTCCCTCCCACTCTATCTGAATAAAAAAATAGAAAAATGTCCTTGGGTGAGGATTAAAAATAAATAAATAATTAAATAAATAAATAAATAAGTAAATAAATAAAAACTTTCGGGCATTAAATAGTCTGAATTAACTTTGGAAGTATCAGTTAACTAGAAAGTCAGAAAGCCCACAGTGACTAAAATATAGGGTCATTCCATGATTCCAACAAGACAGATAACTATAGTCACCATAATGTTAGAAAGGGTATTTTACTATTAATAATAATATGAAAGCCCTGGCTGGGTGCCTCAGTTGGTTGGAGCATTGTCCTGTACATCAAAAAGGTTGTGGTTCAATTCTTGGTCAGGGCACATACCCAGGTTGTGGGTTTAATCCCCGGCCAGGGAGCATGCAGGAGGCAACTCATAGATGTTTCTCTCGAATCAGTTAAAAAAAAAATCCCCAGGTGAGGATTAGAAATAATAATAATATGCAAGATAACTGGAATATTTGTGCTGTTATTAATCTGATATCAATCAACATTTGTATTCCTAAGGAAGAAATTCTTGAGAAAGAATAGACCTGTGAAAATAAATGTTTCTGCTACCAAATGAATCTGATCGGCTTCTAGACACTTATACACAACATTACATCAGGCTATCATCAGGTGAGTATTGGGTGAGTTTATAGAAACCTAAACTTGCTTTTAGTTTTTTAAAATTTCATCTTATGCCTTCTACCATATTTTATTTCTCTTCATTTTGAAATATCTAGGTAGAATGCAGGCAAAGTCAAGGAAAAGGCTGCTAACTGTAAGGATAGCAAAAGAGAAGATTTTATCGTTCTATCTGCATCTGCAACTTTACCTATAGAAACATTTATGCTGCATTTACTTAAAGAATCAACTTAAATAAAAGTATATTAATGAAGATAATGAGCATTCTAATTCATACTAATATTGAGTAGTTGCTATAAGGGAAAATTACAATTATCATTTTTAAGTTGAACCACAATATATAAACACCTCCAAAGTAGTGTGGTTCTAGTTGAAGGAGGTGAGGAACAATCAACTCTCTCCCCTAAGGTAGTCCTAACACACCTCCCAGAACCACTAAACTCCCAGACAGTTTGGAAATCACTGGGTAAGTTGCTTGGCCTCTGAACCACGGTCTAGATCTTGCTCAGTCACCAGAGCTGAATGATTTCGGAAAAGAGGTTTTACCCCTTTGTGCCCCAATTCCCTCACTTATAGAATAAAGATCACTTAGAGTCCTAGTGTTAATATTTTATTCTGATTTCTAATACAACCATTCACATTAAAGACTTGCAAAGAAATCATTTGGGAGTAAAATATGAAGAAAGGCACCCATGATTTACATTAGCATTAAAAGCATGTTGTTTTGAAATATAATATACTTATTTACACTTTAAAAATACAATAAAAGTCTGGCTGGTGTGGCTCAGTGGTTGAGCATTGACCCATGCACCAAGAGGTCGCTGGTTCACTTCCTGGTCAGGACAAATGCCCAGGTGTGGGCCAGATCCCCAGTGGGGGGCATGCAGGAGGCGGCCCATTGATGTTCTCTCTCGTTGATGTTTTTATCTCTCTCTCCCTTTCACTTCCTCTCTCTCTAAAATCAATAAAGGAAAAATAAATAAATAAAAATACAATTAAAAAATCTAAACTCTCAGGGTCACATTTCTTGATCTACAACCACTGTATTCCATCTCCAACTTAAACCATAGCACATCACTATACATCATAGAGTGTATTTGTTATGGACCTCATATGTCTGCAGCCCTCTATATTTTAAAGCCCTTAAGATTACATGTGTAATATTTTCCATCTCACATTAGCAACTGGGCAGGTGTCTCATTTTCATCTGGAAAAGTTGCCATTATTATTCTATAGGAATAGTATATTATTTGGTCAGTGGTATTTACTTGGTTATTTTGCAATACAGTTAAATACATATTTTTATTCTAATAAGTGTACCCTCACCTGATAAAATTCTTCACCAGTTGATTTTTTGTTTCCCTGCATAGCTGTTCTATATTATGCATCTAGGCAAAATATAAATATAGTCATAAGGAATTGGTAGATTAAATAAGAAGAAAGGAAGGTGTCCAGGTATTTTTGCATCCTACCCCCACCCCCATCCCCCTCCCCATTGAGGCTTGTTCCCCAGTATGGGGCATGCAGGAGGCCGTGGTAGACGTTTCCCTCTAACATCGATGTTTCTCTTTCTCCCTTTCCCTTCCTCTGTTTCTAAAAATTAAAAAATAATAATCTTAAAAAAAAAGTAAACCGCCCTGGCAGGTTTGGTTCAGCGGTTAGAGCATCAGCCCATGGACCAAAGAGTTGAGGGTTCGATTCTTGTCAAGGGCACGTTGTGTGGGAGGCAACCAGTCGATGTGTCCCTCTCGATGTTTATCTCTCTCTCTCTCTCTCCCCCTCCTACTTTACCTGAAAATATTTGAAAAAGTATCCTCGGGAGAGGATTAAAAAAAAAAAAAAGAAAACCCTATAGGTAGGGAACTAAGTAGTCATTGTTAACACTGTTTTTCTTTTAATGATACAAGTCTACAGATTCTAGAGTCCTGTTCTCCATTACATAGAAAAGGCACATGATTTGCTTAAAGTATGAGACAAGTTTGACAACTCAGGATCCTTGATTAATCTCTTTTTTCCACTCTACCATGTTGCTTTTAAGCCATTTATATTTTGTGCTGATCTGTGAATTGGAGATAATAAATGCCATTAGCTGGCTAGATCTGTGCGAACATAGAGAATTACAGATTTGAGACAAAAGTGTAGATAATTTTTTTCCCTAAGATACTAAAAATGTTTTAATGAAAACATCCACATAATTGAACCTATTTTATTTTTAAGGTATTTTTAAAATTAATTATCTATTTTTCCTTTTACTTTACTAAATGCTCAATAAATGGAGATATTGGTTTCATTTTTATGACGTTCCCAAAATAAACGATTCACTTAGGAAGTATACCACAGAAAAAGAGAGAAAAGTGATCGTATGAACATAGCCAATAATGAAACAACCTTCTAATGCTCCGCACTGAGAAGAAAATATCTATTTTGTAGTTTTCTTGCCAGAAATACTTAACCTGAATCCAACCATATGTAACAGTCAGATAAATGTTGTGAGATATTTTACTGAAGGATGGGTCTGGATTTTTCAGGAATATTAATGTCATGAAAGTGTTAAGAAAAAAAGTGGAGGAACTGTTTTGGATTTTTAGAAGACTAAAGAGACATAACAAGGGAATGCAATGCATATTCATGATAAAATCCAGGTAAGAAAAAGCTAAAGCACATTGGGGACTATTAGAGAAATTTGAATATTGACTATATATTAGATAATTTAATTGTATCAATGCTAAATTCATTAAGTATGACAATGATGTTATGGCTTTGTAGAAGAATGTCCTTAACCTTAGGAGATACATGCTGAAGGATGAAGGGGTAAAGTGATGACGTCTATAACCAATTTTCAGGCTGTTCAGCCATAAAAAAGTATAGTGTGTGTTCATGATGGGAAAAGATAGAGTGGAAGAAAGGGGAGAGAGCTTATATTGAACAATATTTATAACTGGTGATTCTAGGTGAAGGGTATGATGAGTTTTCATTTTACTTAAAATTTTTCAAAATAAAAAGTTAGGTAGAAAATCGAAAGCTCTTTTATTTTTCTTCATAAAATATATGTTAGTAAATAAATAAAATAGAAACCTTACATCTTGTTTAATAAATTAGTATTAAGAAGGCTATTACAAAGCACTTTATAAGTATTGAATATAATGATAAGTACATGACAGATTTAGTGGTGTGTGTTTCCTCAGGGAGTCTCTCTCTCTAGTTATTTGGGAATTCAACTTTAGGAACCACGCATGTCAGAAATGATGTATAGGAAATAATCAAAGGTCTAGAATTGCAAAACACCAAGGTTTCTTAGTCATAACTAGTCAGAGGCAATGAATATGGCCTTTTCTTCCCTTTTTCAAAATCCCACCATACCCAACTAGGTCTACATTTAGCATGTAGCACATATTTTGCCCCCTAAACTGTAGAGGTTTTCCTGCCTCTAACTGGAGAAAGACTAATCTAATGGCTACAATGCAATGGTTGTGTGTGTGTGTGTGTGTGTGTGTGTGTGTGTGTGTGTCCTAAACAGAGGAAGGGCTTCTAATACACCTAGTGTTTAGCAGGGGGTGGGGGTTGACTAGTAAGGCTTTCCAGAGGAAGTGATACCTCCTGAGCTAGTGGAAGGTGGAAAGAGTAGAAGGATTTTGCAAAGTGTGGCGGCAGTATGAACCAGTGCAGCTGCTGGCTAATCAGTTTATCCAAATATAAAACAAGATTTACTGTTCTCTAAATCTCTGGGTTGGGGATGTTTCTCCCTCCATCCCATAATTCTAGCTGTTTTGCCTTTTTTCATTGACAACAATCTAATGGCTGTTTCTCTCATATATGAGTCAAATATTTCTATGCAGATAACTAAATATTTCTGAGTTATTTTTTGACAAGAATGATCATGATTGGCTTAGAGTAGACAAATCAAGACTCATCCTTTGGAGATGAGACAGAGAATGGTGCCAGCTTTCCCTCAAGCACATATCTTTATGAGATATGTGGTTACCTGAGCAAAACTGGGATTCTGTTGGCAAGGAAGAAGGCAAGGAGAATGTGTGTTGGGCAGGTGGCCATCAATGTCTGCTACAAGAAGGGAATAGATTCAATAAATAGTTTGGAAAACTAACAAGGTATTAGGAGGTGAAGGTCAAAAGACAAAAAGGATACTTGTGAATTTGGGCTTGCACCTTTGGGAAGTTGTGGTACTATAAACTGAGATAGAGAATATAGCAGAGAAAGCAGATTCAGGAGTAAGATAATAGATTCCATTTTTATTAAGTTGAATTTGAGATGCCCTTGGAACAACAAAATGTAAATGTACAACAAACATTTCGAAGTTCCAGGTAGAACACTGAGTTGGATACTTATAGATTTGAGTATCATCAAATATGGTAAAAATGAAAACCATGGAGTAGTTAAGTTGCCAAGGAGAGTATGTAGCATGAGAAAAGCAGTGGAAAGAAGAGGAACCTATAAGGGAGAAAGAGAGGTGGCTAGGAAGGTTTTACAGAGGCTGGGAGACAAGTTTCTCATCTTGGAACTTAGATAATGAGCTTTGAGAAGTAAAGTAACAGATATCAAATGTGAAAGAAAGGTCCAATTAGCCAAAGTCTAAAGATGTCACTGGATCTGCCAATAAGAAATCACTGGTGACTCAGAGGTAGTGAAATGTGAAAGCAGTAAGCGGAAAAGGAAATGGAAGTTAAGGAAGCATAGAGGATGATATAAACTAACACTCAGCAGTTTCAATGAAAGGAGATGGAGTATGTTAAAGAAGGGGGAAAATTAGCACATTATAGGTTACGAGTAAAGAGTCAGTAGAAAGAGAACAGTTGAAAAGAGAGAGATGAAATATGGGCTTGTGTCTGGAAGGTACCAATGAGGGTGAGATGGGGGCAAAGAGGCAGGGGTGAGCCTTGAACAAGGAAGTGGCTTTCATTCTCTGGGCCAAGAATAAATGATAGGATATAGAGAGGTGTACAGATAAAGTAGGCATCAAGGAAAGCAATTGTATTGTCCTCCACTTTATCAGTGTCTAGGAGACACGGTATATTAGTCAGGACATTTTTAATTGCAGATGATGGAAACCAATCTCAAAAAGTTTAATCAAAGATGGAAATATATTAGTTCCTGTAACTTAAAAGGAATATACTGTCATCAACTGCATCTAGAATAGATAGTCAAAGTGATGTCATCAAGATCTGTCTTTTTTTTTTTTTTTTTTTGGTCTCTGTTGTCTTCTATTGATTGTATTTATTTTTAGGCAGGTTCTGTTATGTGTCCCCCATCTCCATTTTTTTTTTTTACTATTTAGCAGAAATGATCACAAGAAGAGAAAGTGTCTCTTTTCCAATTATGCTTCCAAAATCCCAAGAAAGATTTTAATTGGCTCACATTCAGTCAAATGTCTACCCCTGAACTGGCTATCTACCCAAACAACAGACATAAGAATGGTGAATGGAGGTTTTATTACCAGAATAAAAGGGTAATGGATGCTGAGCAAGCAATAAGATATATTCACTTCCAAGGGCATTTGCTAATGGCAAGGATATTGGGAGCTGAGTAAGACTGGTGAAAAATAGAGATTTGGAATAGTCCTTTTAAAATATAATGGGAGCTTAACTTTCTCAAGTCATAAGATTGACAAGGAGAAACATAAAGGATCCACCTGAGGTTGACTAAATCATCACAGACAAGATTTCATCCAACACTGCTTAGCTACTCGGAGGGATGTAGGGGAAGGGCAGTAAACAAAAACAAGAATACTATGTATGTGCTAGACACTGTTCTTTTTTTAAAAAAATTGTTTTCCTTTATTGATTTTAGAGAGAGAGGAAAAGAAAGGGAGAGAGAGATAGAAACATCGGTGAGAGAGAACATCAACTGGCTGCCTCCCACAAGCCCCACAACCTGGGCATGTGCCCTGACCAGGAATCAAACTGGCGACCTCTTGATGCATAGGTCAACGCTCAACCACTGAGCCACACTGGCCAGGCTAGACCCTGTTCTTTTTTTTTTAAATCCTCACCCGAGGACATTTTTTCCATTTTTTGTTCAGGTAGAGTGGGAGGAAGAGAGAGAGAGAGAAACATCAATGTGAAAGGAACACATCAAGTGGCTACCACCCACACAACCCAACCAGGGTCGGGGCAAACTGCAATCGAGGTACATGCCCTCAGTGGGAACCAAACCCGGGTTTCTCTGACCGCAGGCCGACACTCTAACAGCTGAGCCAAACCGGCCAGGGCTAGACCCTGTTCTTAAAGAGTACGTGTAGTGACTCATTTAATTCTCATAACAACTCAATGAGAGTTTTATAAGGATCAAATTTTGCAGGAGCAGAGGAGGTTGATAATGGCATTGAAGTTTCACTGATGGATGTGATGAAAGTAGAGGGCTATGAGGGGATCAAGACTTCATAAAAGTCAAGAATGAAAGTGGGGTTAGAAGGAGGTGAATGGATAGGAAGAGGAAGAAGCTAGGGTTCTAAGGGTTGATTGGGGTTAGGGAGTAACAGAAAGACAGACTTGGAAAGACAGAGGTTTTGGTCAGAGAGTAGCATTTTTAGTTTGAGATTTTAGGGAGATTTCAGATTCACTTCTGCCTGACTTTTATTCCTATCACTAATATCCAAAAATACAGCCTTAAAAGGCATCCAAACCAGAGTCTCTGGTTGAGTCCCAGCTTTATATGAGTAATTGTGAGCAAGAAATTTAACTTTTCTGTGGCTCCTATTTCTTTAGCTATAAACTAATGTGATAAAATGCCTACCTCATTGTGTGGAAATCAAATGAATTGATGAACATAAGATACCTGCATTAGACTATATATGGTATAGATAGATGCTCAATCTACTGTACACATTAACTCTAACTTTTACAGTATTATCAACATCATTATCATTAGCTTATATATAGTTAAGAGAATTTTTTTTTAACTTTTTTTTATCCTCACCCAAGGACATTTTTTTCTGCATTTATCTTCAGACAGCGAGAGATGGAGAGAGGGAGCAAGAGAGAGGGAGAAACATCGATGTGAGAGAGACACATTGACTAGCTGCCACCCACACAACCCCAACCGGGGCCGGGGACAAATTGCAATAGAGGTACATGCTCTTAGCGGGAACCGAACCCTGTACTCTCTGGTCTACAGGCCGATGCTCTAACCACTGAGCCAAACCAGCCAGGGCTATAGTTAAGAGAAGTTTAAAGAAATCATAAGGGCAATGCTCAGTGTCTCATTCATCATGTATCCTTAAGATTCAGCACAGACTCTGACACACAGGAGGGACTCAATGAATGGATGAGGAACCCAACTTATCTGCTGCCTTCCATTTCAGGGGTCACCTACTTCAATGTCTTTGGGTAAAAAAAAAAATTTTTTCTCCTCTCTGCTTCACATTCTGATTCAGTCTACATTGAAGTCTGCTTCTCTGCCTGACTTCATTGAACAAGTATTTATTGAGACCAGCTTTATGCCTGGCATTATTCTAGGAACTGGGGATATTAATGGTGGCGAAACAGACAAGGTCTTTGCTTTCATGGAGCTTACAGGCAGAGGAAAAGCATACATTAATGGAAAAATCTTACAAATAAATATAAAATTATAACTATAATATGTGCTAATAAGGAGAGGCTATCAAGAGAAGAGAACGTTTCTC